ACAAACATGTTTGCACACCACAAAGCAGAGGGCTTCCACGTGGACAGTGGTGGGGGCATTGCCTGAGGGGGGTGCTGGCTGGAGGGGGGACGAAGGGGGGAAGCAGGACCACCCTGATAGCACAGACCGTAGGTCAGAGCAGGGAGGGCAACTCACTTCTCACCAGATATTCTTTTATGCTGTTTGATTATTTTCTCATATGCATGTTTTTAAAATGTCAAAACACTATTTTAATAAAATCTCTTTAATGATGGATTGCTTCCGTGGAAGTGATTTAATGATTTTTAATGACTTTATCAGGTCTTGGGAGAACTGGAGGCTGTGAGCTGCTCTCTGGAGAAATTTGGCTGGCTTCCCTGGATCAGCAGGAGTCCAGAAAGATTCTATAGAAGGCTCTTTCCTTTGTTTGCATCAAGCAAAATTAATAGCTTCAGATATATATTTAAAAAGAAAGCCTGAAAGGCTTTCAAAATGAGAATCCCAGGAACCAGACAGCAATGCCATCAGACCTCGAAATACCCTCATATGCAGGATGCAGACTGTATTTAATTGCTTGCCCTGTTCAGGACTGTAGTTATTTTGCCTAAATTGTACAGATTTCTTTTAAAAAGCTCTCATGTTCTTTGTCACAAGACATCTAATTGCTAATAGCAAAATAATAAGGGCAGTTCACTAAAAGAAGGGCACAAACTTCTGACCTTTAAAATTCAAATTTTAAAGCAAAATTACACTTACAAGTATTGTACTTTAGCTTAGCATATAGGGTGCTAAATCGCTTGATATTTGTGTTCCTAATAAGGCAAATAATGTCAACCAATGATTGTCTATGTGTGTTTTCCTTCTTTGCCTGGGAGATTGGGAACACACTGTTCACTTCCTTTCCCCCCTTTTCAGTTTAATAGCTGTCATTTAACTGACTTCAGCCTCGGGCCATTAAATAGGAATAACGTCTAGTATCTGACCAATTTATTTTCACCATCGACTCCATATGGTACCTTGCTCAAATTGCTTCACTCAGTTTTCTTCTGCAAAGTAAAGACAATAATATTACTTACTTAGTGGGATATTTTGAAGCTTATATTATTTGGGAACAAGGCCTTATTCATAGAAAATCTTGGTAAATATTAGTTGGTTAAATTTTAATGGGCAATAGATGAAGCTCATCTTTCATGATGCCACAAAATATTTCTAAAAATTAAAAAAAAATTTTTAGAACGGGGAGTTGGTAAAGAATAAAATAAGCATCTAATAATCACATTGCAGTTCCTCCGAGCTGGCCACATACTATCTTTCATTCATTCCATAAACATTTATTAGACTCCTGCCATGTACGTAGATGGCGCCCTGCCATGGTCACACACATCAGCAGTAGCTGTGGGTAGCACGTGGACAGATCCTTACATTCTTGAGACTGCTCTCTCTGGGAGACATCACAGACACGGCCTGAGCTCCAGACCAGGGAGTGGCCAATGCCACAGCCAATTTACCAAGTAGATTCCACACCCAGTTTCCCAAAGGCTCACAATGTTTAGTGTTTTTCTATTTTTATTTAAATTTTAAAAGAATCCACAGACACAGCTTTTTGAATTTAAGAATTTCTATTTCTTTTTAAAAAAATATGTTTATTGATTTTACTAAGAGACATTGATTGGTTGCTTCCCATATGTACCCTGACTGGGGATCAAACCTGCAACTTAGGTATATGCTCTCTGACTGGGAATTGAACTCCTAACCTTTTGGTATAGAGCATGACACCCCAACCACTGAGCCACACTGGCCAGGGCTAAGAACTTCTATTTCTAAGATACTTTTTTTTCAATATTTTATTTATTTATCTTTAGAGAGGAAGGGAAGGAGAGAAATATCAATGTATGGTTGCCTCTCGTGAGTCCCCTGCTGGGAACTGGCCTGCAACCCAGGCATGTGCCCTGACTGGGAATCGAACTGCGATCCTGTGGTTCACAGGCCCGCGTTCAATCCACTGAGCTACACCAGCCAGGGCTATTTCTAAGATACTTTAATATTTTATTTATTTATTTGCAGAGAGGGGAAGGGAAGGAGAAAGAAAGGGAAACAAACATCAATTTGTGATTGCCTCTCATGTGCCCCCAACTGGGACCTGGTTTGCAACCCAGGCGTGTGCCTCAGTTGGGAATCAAACTGGCGACCCTTTTGGTTCATAGGCCATCACTCAATCCACTGAGCCATACCAGCCATAGCTGGGTATGTTTAAAAATATCTTAGAAATAGCCCTGGCTGGTGTGACTCAGTGGATTGAGCACTGGCCTGTGAACCCAAGGGTTGCCAGTTTGATTCCCAGTTGGGGCACATGCCTGGGTTGCAGGCCAGGTCCCCAGTTGGGGGCAAGCTTGGGGCAAACTTGGGGGCAAGCCTGGGGCATTTGAAAGGCAACCAGGCAACTGACTGATATATCTCCCATACATGGATGTTGCTCTCCCTCTCTTTCTCTTTCCCTTCCCCCTCTCTAAAAATAGGTAAATAAAATCTTAAAAAAAAAAGAAAATTAAAAAAATATTCCTTATTTGAAAACTGACAGCATCGAACTGATAATAGCAAAAGGAAAGCAGTAGAGTTTCTTCCCATTCCGTTCGCTCAAATTTTTTCGTACATTTCTGAAATGACAGTGAATTAGAAACTCAAACCTGTCTATGACTCTTTTATCTGCCTTGAGGTGGAACATTATTGTGGACTTGACTTTTATTCATTTTTTTGGATTTGTTCCCTTATTTTCTCAAGAATGGCCTAATTCTCAAGTATTTTAGGGCGTGCTCTAATCTGTTGCTGGTGTTTCCCCCTAAGATCTCCCTTCTTGGGGAAAGCAGAGGATCATCAGATATTTCGACTCTTTCTGGGTCTCAGGCACAGTGGGGCTTTTGACTTCAGAACTGTCGTATTCTGAACCCCTGGGGCCTATACACTTGGCAACCAGCCTGTGATGCCTTGATGGTCTGGGCTGACCTTGGACGGGCTTTTCAGACCCCATAAGTAGCCCTCTGTAGTTTAAATCAGGTCAGCTAAAAAACCTTGCACCAGGGTGGCGGGTTTGATCTGGGATTACCAAATCTTTGAATCCAATCTGGGAGAGCCCTTCTTCCTGGAGAGTTTCTTTAATGGAGCAGATGAAAATGGACTAGGAAAATGACTCCTGGAGTAAGTTCCTCGTGTAGGAGCAAATAAAGTCCCTTATGCTGGTTGGTTACCTTGTTTGCCCCCCCCCACCCACTTACCCCTTGGACCCACTTTCTGCCCTCCCTGCCCAATTCCTGGACTAGGTGCCAGGGTCTCTTGACCTCTGGCTTCCAGGTGGGTTTGGCCAGTGGGAGGTACTTCCAGGAGAATGAAGGGTAGGAGGAAGGAGACGTCAAGGTATGCCTACCCACTGCTGCCTTCTCTACACAGGTGGTCCTGGCAGTGGCTGCTTCCTCATCAGCTGCAGCCCCTATATCATGCCCCCTCTGCAGACTCTGGCCCTTCCTTAGTCCTACTAGTGTAGGCATGGTGACCTCTTCCCACTGTTGCTAACTCCTGGTTGATTTCTGAACTCTGCCCACACCCAAGTAAATCACCTCTTCTTTTAAAGCCTTTTAAGTCAAAAATCTTTGCATGTGGCCTCTATTTTCCTCCAGGGAAGGACCTTGAGTGATATAGTCATACCAAGTCATACTACCTCCACGTGGCAAATCTGAAGACCTTTCCAGTTAAAAGTGGCCGCCTCCTAGAAGGTATCTATAACCACTTCAACACCCACAACTAATACAAAATCCAGAACATGAGTCATAATTTGCTAGGCTCTTCCATGGCAGGAACACTGTTCTGAGCATCTGGGGATCTCCCCTCCTTTTCCCCTTATTCCCCCCTCCACCCTCGCACATAGTAGGTGCTACAGAGGCAGCACCCTTGGGCCGCAAGAGCCTCAGCCTCAGCTCCCTTCTTCTTCTCCTCCCCCACACCACCTGCTGGGCTGCTGGCACCTGTAGGATCTGTATCACCATGCTGGCCAGCTGGTTTATTTCTTATTGTTCTTGACACAGGAAGTTCATCCACGTGATTTTTTGCAGTATCCAAAAAGGGTGGGTACATTGTGTCCCGTGATGGAAAGCTTGTGGAGGAATGCAGGTTTTAGTTTCACCCCCCACATTGCTCCTATTGCTATGTGAGAATTGCCCCCCTCATGCAGACACTGGCTCCCCAACTCTGCACAAAACCCTTGAAACATTTAATTTTGAAGTGTGGGATTACAGTCTTCCATACAGTGAGACAGAAGGTGACCATGGGTAGCCTCCGAGTGTGTTATATACCTTAGACCTTTTCCAAAACACTGCAGAGGAATGTCAGTCTAGGCAGTCACGAGGCATGTTATTTTTTTTAGAAACATTGACACCTGGAGAGGCCTGATGTTTTCATATTCTTGGTGGGAAGCACTTTGAACCATAAAGGCACACTAAAAGGCAATTGCTATGGAGACTGTGCCTCTGCCGTGTGCATTTCTCTGAGTTTTCTTCTTGGGGCGTTTCAGCATCCACGGGGTGTCCTAGGGACGCTGCTACAGTGGGGAGCCCAGACACAGCAGTGTAAGGCAGTGGAGCTCCAATGGAGGGAATGGAGCCCTACCCTAGAATTAAAAGCTGGAGATGGCTGCTCAAGGTAGGGTGTGTGTGTGTCGGAGGTGAGTGGAGGAGAGGTTCTCAGAGCGTTCAGGCCCTCAGCTCTCCCGCCTGTGCGGGGACAACGCGCAGAAGCAGCGCGTGGGGGGCCCTGGCGCGCAGCCGTGGTGGGTTCCTGCTACCCAGCCGGGGGGTACCCCTCTTGTGTCCGTGTGCGTTTCACCCCCCCACCCGTCAAGAGTGTGTGTTGGTCCTCCGCTCAGCGCCCACCGAGCGGTGCCTGCGCCCGGGAGCGCGCGCGCGCGCGCGTGTGTGTGTGTGTGTGTGTGTGTGTGTGTGTGTGTGTAAGAGAGACAGTGTGTGTCAGGTGACTTGGGTCACGCAGTCTCTCTCTCCCTCCTCGGGGAGGAACTGCCGCGCTCCGGCTGAGTCCTCCGCCGGCAGGAGGGAGGGGCGGCGAGGGGCCCGGGCACGCCGGGAAGCGCGAAACCTAGACCAGGACAGGACGCCGCCCGCCCCGGGACTCGCGGCCCCCGCCGGCTCCCGCCGCACTCCAGACAAAACCCCAGTTCAGGCAGGTTCTGCGCGGCGAGCGAGGAGGCTTAGCCCCTAACCCGGAACTTGCCGCCCCCGGGACGGCTGGCGGGTGGGCGCAATGAGCCAGGTGCTGGGGAAGCCGCAGCTGGAAGACGAGGACGACGACGAGGAGGATGAGCTGGTGGGGCTAGCGGACTACGGGGACGGGCCCGACTCCTCGGATGCCGACCCGGACAGCGGGGCGGAGGAGGGAGGTGAGCGCCAGGTCCCCTGCCCGGTCCCCAGCCCCGCGCGTCCTCAGCCGGCAGCCCGTCCCTTCCCTCTGTTTCTTCCCGCCCCCGGCCCGGCCGAGTGCGCTGGCCGAGGACTTGGAGGGGATCCAGGAGAACGGAGTTGCGGGGTGGGGGCGGGGAGGGGCGCAGGAGCAGCTACCGAGCAGCGACCACAGGCTGCAAAATGGGGGAGCCCGGGTGCAGGCGACCATGGGGTACCAGGATCAGTGGGGGAGAGCACAGAGAGGAAGAGTCTGGGCTGGGGAAACATGCGCTCGCTCGCCGGGTACGTCCCCCACCTCTCATCCGAGTTCTCGGCAGGATCTGGGGGTTGAGGAGGGAAGGGGGACCGCCCGGCTCTCCGTGGGACCTCTCCCTGAATGCTGCTGTTAAAGCTGGGGTCAGATGTCGTGGCTAAAAAAGGCAGCCGGCAGCAGCGTGACTGGCAGGGTCGTCGGCAGCTGCGGGTGTCAGTCTTGCCCTCGCCGTAGTTGCGGGAGGGGTCCAGGGGCTTCCCAAGTCTGCGGCTTAGGGGCACCCGTGGAGAGGCGGGAAGATGCACCCCGGTGATACAGGAGTTGCCCGGTGGCCGAGGGTTTCCCGGGATCCGTGCAAACGCGGTTGTTAGGACGCCTTATCTGCACCCAGAGTCACCACCTGGGCACGGCTCTGCCTGCCCTGGAGTGAGCGCGGGGTGGGGGAATACTCTGCTACTCAGAGAAGTAAACTCTGTTTACTGTTCAAGAAGCGGCATTTAGCAATTGTTCAGCCTGTGAGGGCTTCCCTACATTTAATTCTTAAGGCCTAAAAGAATTGTGAGCTTTTAAGGCTTCAGAAAGGTTCTTTTTTCTTTTCCTCCAAAGCAAGGAAAAAGTCCTTTATTGTAAGGTCACTTAGAAAGGTCAGTAGGAGGCTATTAAGCACAACATCAGAATGAAGCTGTGTCATCCACAGCTTTGGAAGCTGTGGCCTCCAAAGAACTAAGTTGAAATTTTTTCACTTTGAAGAAATTGTGTGAGGGATAAAAGTACCTTTGTAACTGTTGATTCTGAAGAACTTTTATTAAAATTCATTGAACTTATTTTAAATTCTTTCTTAAAAGCCTTTCTCAGAACCGTTCCATTATTTTGCATATAGTAGGTGCTACATTCAATGAATCAGAAAGGGAAGAGAGTTAGCTAAACCTTGAGCCTGAGAGATGAGAGAGAAGCTTTCCAAGCCATTCGTTTTCATCTTGGCCTGTCTCTTGGGAGGATTTGTGCTAATACCCCCCTTTGCTTAAACTGGTGTGTGCACCTGTGTGCCTCTCTTCTGCACTCTCCATAATTGGTCCCACAGTTGAGCGCGTGGTTACATTTTTGTAGATAAAGGCGTTTGTTCAACCCTTTTGTTGGAGTTCCCTAGGGCTACCTTTGGTAATTAAATTGTTCAGTCACTTCATTATTATTCAAATTGCACTCCTTGGCTCCTCCTAGATTCTGGGAGACTTCAGAGAGATTCAGAAGGGGGATGTATTTGCAAGGTATTTGACGTGGTAGACACACAATAGGGTGTATTTGTGGTACTGTGAAAAAAAAAAAAAGAGACTATAATACCCTGGAAGGAACAGCCCTGCAATTTGATCATTGTGGGGGGGGGGTTACCCTGAAAAGCACAGGACCTGCTTATGCTGCAGCTCTTTAAGGTGGTACTTTTAAAATTGATTTGGGCACTCGAAATTGAAGTGAAAGGGAAGCTTTGCCTCAGAGGTAGGATTCTCGAAACAAAGGGTTTCCAGAGCCTGGTCTGGGATGCTCCTCCTTGCCCTAACCTAAAGGCAAACCCTCCCAGAACTGATCCGTTTGATTACTTCCCTGGTAAAATCCTCCCCTGTGAGTTATAGGATCAACCTGGAATCTTGCTACAAAATAAAAGCATATTGAGTATATTGATGTGATAAGAAGATCCACAAGTGAACATTTGCTTCCCTGGAACATTACTGAAGCCAGGCCTTCCCCAGGCCTTCCCCACTTGGGCCTGCTGTGCATAGGTGGTCTGGCCTCAGAAGTCTTCCTCCATCATCTCAGGCTCCTGTTCTTTCCGGGTGCTCCTGGCTTTGCTTTGGAACTTTAGGCCTGAATGCAGAGTCTGTCAGAATGGTCGCTTTCTGGAGGAGTAGCAGATAGGCTCCTCGTCCAGCAGCTCTAGCAAGGGTCCCCCTGACAAATGTCACGCCAGCTGATACACTCCCTGGGAAGTGGGATGAGGGAAGAAGTTGGGAGTTGTGACTTCCGTTCCTGGGACCGTTGACCGCCAAAGGGTCGTCTCGATTTCCGATGGGCCCTGGGTACCTGTTGTGTTATAATCTGTCAATGTAAGAAACATTCAAACCTCTAGAGAATTTTTGTGAGTTTATTTGAGCCAAACTGACGACAATTGCAAAATCTCAACAGATTGAGAAATGCTCCGGAAAATGGCAGTTTTGCACCTTACTTTATACATTACAGTCAAAAGAGGAGGCCTAAGTGGGTTACGTGAAATCCCTTGGTAATAGATTAAGGAGGCAGGAGGAAGCAAAGCTGGGGTGGGGGAGGGCTAGAAGAATTTTGGGGTTGGACAAAAGGTAAAATGATAGACACATTTTTGACACAGGTGGGTACAGGATAGTTAACAGTAGGCAGTTAACATGATAACTGACAGTGAGGGGTTTCGAGGTCTCCCCCAGATGTGGGCCCTGTGCTTTGAGGTGTCCAGAAAAAGGAAATCTGACATTCCAAAGGTATTTTATCTTAGATGTAAAAAGACACGGACAGGCTCGTTTAAGGTAAAGATTGACCTTGTTAGGGAAAAATACGGGCCTAGGACCTGACTACCCGCCATGAACTGCTTTTAGTTAGTTTTCATTTCAGACCATCCTGTGTGGTTACTTTGGTCTCTGAGTTTGTACGGCTGCCACGCAGGCCTCCCCTGAGCTCGTCAGGTTTCACATGTGGCCCCTTTTCTTCCCCAAATCCTGTGTTATTTTTGGTAAAATTTACATTTATCTACTCTCAAACTTAAAAAAAAAATAAAAAGGAATGTGGAAGGGTGGGGAGGGATTTACTGCCTCTGAGGGAAGATGGATGCGGTGCACTTTGGACCATGAGCAAAGAAAGTGAGACTCTCATGAGCTGTCTTCCTCCCTCGCCTTCCAATGGATTTCGTTCAGTGCCTGTGCTCAGTGGAAACTGGGGCTTTTTCTGTGAAGTTCAGAGATCTACTGTGGGTGGGATGCAGGACTGAGTAGCATCGCTGTGCAAAAGAAAGTGGATTGAAGGTGGATAGTGTTATTTCCATTTCCCATAGTTGTATAAGGAAGCTCTGATTTTATTTTTAAACTGGGTATCTTGTAAGTTTTACCACATTGTGCTAAGTTTGAAAAGGTGCAGCTAAGGTGAGACTGGAATTACACTTCCCTGGCATGCACTCCACATTTTATTCATGAATACCAGGTGTTCTCCAGGGCCCTTCAGTTCTCTTAGGGACAGATTTGGGTACCTCTCAGCACCCCTTTCCAGGGTAGTTATCTCACCTTCAACTTTCGTGCTCCAGATAAATCTCCTGACAGAGGAGAGAAATAAATTAAGCCATTGAAAACAATTGCATCAAAAATAATAATTGATTTTGACAATGGATTTTAAATCTTTAGTACATTACTGTGTTTTAAAAACTGTAATAATAAGGAAAGCAATTAAAAGGTTATATTTAGCCCCAGATGGTATGGCTCAGTGGATTGAGCACCAGCCTGCAAACCGAAGTGTTGCCCCTTGGATTCCCAGTCAGGGCACATGCCTGGGATGTGGGCCAGGTCCCCAGATGTGGGTGTGTGAGAGGCAACCACGCATTGATGTTTCTCTCTCTCTTCCTCCCTCTCTCTCTAAAAATAAATAAAATATTAAAAAAATAAAAGACCATGCTTAATCAAAAAGTGAAACTGGGCCCTGGTCAGGTGGCTCAGTTGGTGGGAGCGTCAGCCCATACACCAGAAGGTGCTTTTGATCCCTGGTGGTGCCATGTACAGGAGGTATTTGCTTGGTGTTTCTCACATTGATGTCTCTCTCTCTCTCTCTCTCTCTCTCAAATCAATCAACAGATCATCGAGTAAGGATTTTTTTAAAGTGAAATTAGTTTCTCCCCCAAAGTCCCAATAGTTAAGGAAAACCTAACTAAGACAGCCACTTACCCACAATCCAGCTAAGTATGAGCTTGTTTCCATAGCACCCTGCGTACTTGCTTAAGGTCTGAGGAAGCAACAGTTTTACGTAGTTATTAGAAGCGCGTGCGCGTGCACACACACACACACACACACACACACACACACACAAGTCTAAAGTCAGCAGGTGGTACTTCCCTGATAGGTGTACATGCTGTGAATCCAGCGATTCACATCTATTAATGGTAAGTGTCAGCTTTTTAACCCTTAAAGTGATTAAAAATTACTAATGAATTCATCTTGCAGTTCCTTGAGAGTAAGCAGAGGTCATTGTTCTCCTGATATGCCAGAGATATCAGGGAACTTGACCACAGCCACAACGTGATGTAGAACTGAGCAAAGTTTAAGAGAGGGTCAAAGTTTGTGGAAAGGTAAGCCCTTTTCCTTATAATTCTGCCTTGTCCAGAAGAGTTGGGTTGACTACAACCCTGGCCATAGCTAATCTCTTGGGTTTCTTTCTGTCCCTGGAAGTACAGAGGTACATATGAGCTAGAATAGTAAAAATACAAAACAGGTTAAAATGATGTGACCAAAGCCACACCTTTAGGCACAGAGCTTATTTGAATACACATAGCATATTTTTGTGTAAGATTTTTTTTAAAGATTTTACTTATTTATTTTTAGAGAGAGAGAGGGAGAGAAACATCCATCGGTTGCCTCTCGCATGCACCCCAGCCAGGGGTTTAGCCTGCAGTCTAGGCGTGTGCCCTGACGGGGCATCAGACTGGCAGCCTTTCACTTTGCAGGATGA